GGGCCAAGTAATTCAAAATATTCAGTACCAGTTTCTTGTTGCTATAATTATTTTGTCAATCTACATTAGTAACAGACTTTATCAGCAGTGATCTTATTTTTACATCCAGATTATTGTGGGAATTATTGAATAGCTTTAGACCTAGTACTGATCCTAATGGGACTGTATTAGACATTCCCTGATTCAATGGTGCTTCCTGTCGACGAATACTTTTTGAAATATCTAAGATGGTTCTTAATCAATTCAACGTGTGCTTGATTGATCCTTTAGAGTGATTATATTTTCATTTAAATGCCATGCAGCAAATGCCTCCTGTGGCTTCCTGTACTATTTGTTATAATCTTCCTAAGCATCAGAGGGGTACAATTGTTGTGTTGTTGATCAGTTTCAATTTGGGTTACTGGCTTCTGAAATTCATACACTGTATTTACTTGAATCCAAGATAACTTTGAATTTAAGATGACCCCCCCCCAAATTAGATTCTGTACATCAAAAATATATAAATTTGTTATAATTTTCCATGTAGAGAATCTAATTATTGGAAGGTTGTCTTAAACTTGTCCCTTTCTATTGGGGCAAGCAGCAGCACAAGGTCAGGCAGTAGGGGAGCTGGTGATAGGGAGGGGTCCAGTAGCTTCACTCGTACCCCTTGATCCCTGCTCCCCTGCCTCAGTGCTTGTGCACCCAGTGCATGTCTCTCTTCCCACTTGCCACCCCCCTCCACCCCCTGCATACTGTACTCCCTGGCACCTTCCCCCATGCCCTCCGCAGTGCCTTCACCCCCTGTCACCTGGCTCCCTCTGTTGTCTGGTCTTTTCATCCCTGAAGCTACTTAGCCTCTAGCTCTGACCCTGCTCAGGCCTGGGGCATGGAGTGCATGCTGGCTCTGGCTGTTGCCCAGCCATGCAGCAGTGGTTGCAGTGGCAGCTCCAATCTCAGAGACAGAGTTGGAGATGGGCTGAAGCTGCAGCCACTGCAACTGCTGCTGTGTGGCTAGGTGGGGGCTGGAGCCATGATGTGCTCCATGCCCCAAGCTGGAGCAGACCAGAGCCAGAGAGTAAGCTGCTGTGTGGGGGGTGGAGCGGCTGTGGCTACGACTGATCTCAAGCCTGTGTTGGGGATGGAGTTGCCTGACCCCTGCTTATACTTGAATCCAGGAGGGCTTCCCTTTCATGTTAAATGTGAAAAAAGTACATTGTGTCAGTTCATTCTGCTTTTGATAAGGAAAGCTTTATACAGAGACAAAGGAGGTGGCTCAAACAGATAGCTGTTGAACATTCATTTTACATTCATTTTACATTTGAAAGGTGACTGTTCAATGTATAAAGTTAGATTCTTTCTTGTATTAATGAAAATGTAACGTTGCCTTTATTCATCATTAATTGTTTTCCTGCTTATTGTCAGTCAATAGAACTATCCTAAGCACAAGTGAGAATAAGTATCCAAACCAGCCCTTTAGTGCCTTACCCTTACTAACTGTGACACATTATCAGTCTTTTCCTGGGATCTGGAAACTTTCCAATAAGATTAAAAGTAGCAACTCACTTTTCTCACCAGAAGTTCAACCAATTTTAAAATTGTTTTGCAGTTGGATTTTTCTGTCCAAGATGATTGTAAATGTTGTCAGTCTAGTTACATGATAAGGTAATGGGAAGATTTTTGTATGAATCAGGATTCCTTCACAGTAAGGACATCACTTATTTTGGTATTAACTAGGGATATACACTTAGATTGGAGCAAAATATTGGCAGGAATCATTGAGGAACATGTGTTCTATAAATAGTATTTTCTTGCCCAGCCAGGTTTTCAAAGTTATGAAAGAGGTGTCTTAGTGGGTGAATGTGCAAAAGGATAGTTTGGGGGAAATGAAAGAGATGTTACATAGGTTTTTGGCAGCAGTGTACTAAAGGAAAGAAAGAGTACATACTTCCCCCCACAGATAAGCAGTATGTTCTACTTCATTTGGAGAATATTAGGGCACATTACAACAAAAAAAGTTTGTGAAGAAAGCAGTATTTACCCATTTGTGGTTCCTCTGTTTTTGGTTTCTCTCCCCACCCCTTCAGCCCAACTGGGGTTTTTTTTATATTCCTGTATTGTGAATATTATTTTTGTATTGCACTTTTTCTTTTTCCTTTATGTTCTTCCTTCTCTTCGTTGTTGTTATACCTATCGTGCTGCTTTTCTTTTCTTTTCCTGCACATTGTTTCTATTCTTCCTTTCCATCACTTTCCTGCCTCTTACTTCTTTGTATTCTCTTAATCCCTTTTATGTTTCCCTCAATCATTTCTCCCCTCTTCCCCCTGCTTATGCTTGATGAAAGAACATCTGGGGAAATGTAAGCATTGGCCCAATTCATACTGGCAAATGCCTGTATGTGGTATGAACTATATGGAAGAAATGTGAGTTTACATTTTGGGTTCCATTTAGTGTGAGGTAAGATTGAGAACCGATGAAGGAAGATTCACTTGGAAGATCTAAGTGGTGGGGGAGAAAGTCTAAGCACAGAAGAGCTCTGCATGGTCCTTGAGTTATAATTTAATTCGCCAGCTATGTCATTGTGGACTGCTGTGATTGAATTTAAACAAAATCTTGCCCCTTGAATTGCCATGAGGTGGGTCTGGTAGTAGAAGGGATTGGGGAAACTAGTTATATTAGGAAAACAAAATAGTTTTTAATGGATACAAACCTTCATGCTTCAGGTCACCAACCAACTCTTAAGAATTAGGAAAATTCACTGTGCATTCCATATGTGTACTGGAACTTACATCCGAAGGCCGTGCCTGGACCCTCCTGAGGAGAGGTAAGCAGAGGCAAAGGGCAGTGAGGAGGGTTCTGCAGAAGGAACAGTGGCTCAGCCTGATCCACTGGTGCTGCCCTGGGCCATGTCATACCTTCTTGGGCCTTATCAGATCTCTTTGTGGGCCAGATCTGGTTTGGGGATTGTAGGCTGCTGACCCTGGCTCTAAAATATTTGTGTTCCATTCCCATCTTGGCAATTTGAAAATATCCTTCACATTTTATATTCTACTTTATTTGTCCATTGGATGGTACCATCTATCAAATTGTAGCAGCCTACAATTATATAAGAGGCGTACATCAGGACCTGGGAGAACAGCTTTTCACCAGAGCTCCCCAAGGGATGAAAAGGTGTAATGGCCATAAACTCCAGGAAAGCCGATTTAGACTAGACATAAGAAAAAAAGTTCTTTATGGTGCGAGTGTCCAGGGTCTGGAACAAACTGCCCCCAGAGGTGATGCAAGGACCTACTCTGGACTCTTTCAAAAAACATGTGGATGTTTTTCTTGCTGGGGTCACTTGATCCCAACTGACTTCCTGCCTATGGTTGGGGGTGGGCTGGACTCGATGATCTCATGAGGTTTCTTCCAGCCCCTAATGCAGGGGCAGGCAATTATTTTGGGCAGAGGGCTGCTTACTGAGTTTCGGCAAGCCATCGAGGGCCACATAACAGGCACCCCGGGGCAGATTAATATTAATTTTCTAAATATTTTAGGGGCCCCGCAGGCCGGATAGAATGGCCTGGCAGGCTGCATTTTGCCCACCTCTGCCCTAATGTCTGTGAAATCTATGAAATCTACTGGGTTTAACTTTTTCCAAATATTGGCTTATTTTAAGCGGGTGAGGGGAATGGAATGAAAAAGATACAGTATTTGAACATTACTGGCACACTTTAAGAAATATATGTGGTCACAAATGAATGGAAGGGAACAGAGTTGGCAGATAGATTGTCTCTGATGTGCATGCAAGTTCCACGCATTGATATTTATTAAATTATGCATGCATGTGAGGAAAGTTGCTAAAGGAAAGTATGCTCAAAATTTTTACTCATACAAGACAGTGGAGATTTGAGTTAACTCTGTATATTTCCTCCATAATGGGTTTAATTTTGAAATATGTGACATTTGCAACAATGAAATTCTTGCCCTGTGTTTGTGGTTTCTTGCATAAATATTGGACAAGTGGCATTTGCAGTATGAAAGGTGTATGTCTCTCCTAACTTGGATATAAGCCCTGTGAGATAGCAAAAGTTCATCATCTGAATGTGACCTTTCCTAGTGAAAAGGGCATGGCAATACCTGCAAAGCTAAAAGTCACTTCATTTTAACTTCATCTTTATCATCTTAAATAACAAGACATGGAGCACTTCACTCACTGAAGTAATCATGTACACTAAGGTATTTTTATTTGGGGGTCAGTCCTGTGCCATCTGCTTTCTGTTTACAACTCCATAGAATATAATTGGAATTTTTATTTTTGGCCATTGAACAACTTATTACATCCAGTTGACTTTTGTTTACTATTTTCCTGATGTGATTTGAAATATATAAAGTCAATGCTTAGTAAAAAGCTGGTATTGTAGCACACTAAAAGATGAAGGGGGAGACCATGGACTTCTTAGTTCTTTTGCACAATGCGTGTAGCATGAAGAGGTTGGGAATCTAGCATAAGAAGCTAACTGGGGATTTACCTACTGTGGGAGATTCCTGGGTAGTAAAGAGCCAACATAACTAAATTCTGCATTGCCAGCTTGAGGCCACCTGCACTGTGGATGCGGCTAGAAAAAGGGAGGCATGGCTGAAACTCCCAAGGTCTAATTTGGCTCATTGAAACCCTGCAGATTTACTTAGATTTTTCCAAGATCAGGATGAGTGTAGAAATTACTCCTCCTCTCCCCAGTAAATAAATGGTTCCTTTGCATAGCTCTTTCCTTGGTTTCCTCACCCGCAGCTAGGACTTGTAAAGTGTAATTGAAGATTGATCCTGAAGCTTTTTGAAAGTATCCTAGAATATGACTCCACGTTGTGATGTTACTGCTACAACAAACAAGTAATCTCGTTGTATTTTTACAAAGGCATCTTTAAAGTATTTGAAATTACTGTGGTAACAGTGTTGATGCTATTGTTATATGTTCAAGTCTTGAACTGTCAAATTATGAAATATTTTTATCCTGTGACATTTTAAATTAATCTCTCCATAGGGGAAGCCTGTGGGAACGCCAGATGCTGGTGCTTATTTCCGTGTGCTAGCGGAGCATGAAGTGGCTGCTTTTTTTACTTCACCAACTGCAATTAGAGCAATCCGTCAACAGGACCCTGAGGCGGCCTTGGGAAAGCAGTACTCTTTGACAAGGTGAACTAAGGATACGTTGGAAATGGTTTGTTATAGAAACAGACTTGATAAACTGAAAATAGTATAGCGTCTGGAGCTTTGGACACCTGTACAAGTGGCAGACTATAAATTTACTCCTGACATTCTATACATGATGATACGCTATCTTTGTGTATGTGTGTAAATATATGCAAGATGCACATGGAAAAACTGCATGAAAATATTAACATTGCAAGATCAAGCACTCAAAAATGAATTAAGGATGCATGTACAACCTTAATTTTACTTTTGCCGTTATACAGTGTTGTACAGGCTTGAGCACACACTTGCATACTGTTAATGCACAGGATGTACAGTGCTTGCTTACTGACCAGGCAGTCAGTCTTTTGTTTTATCCTCATTGTTTAATATGTGGCTCCTTTATTAATGGTTCAGTATTTACTCAAATTTTGCTCTGAAGACAGAATTATTCATTTTCCTCATGGGATTTTTTGCTTTGCTTGTCATTATGGTATCTGCATGCTTCAAAACCGCAAGTTCTTTAATCTTCACAGAGCCCCCGTTAAGTTAGAGTGTGGTATTATCCATACCATAGAGTGGGGAAGCTGAGGACAGAGAGATTACGGTTGAAATCTACCACTAATTTTGGAAACCACTTAGGATGTTATTTTTTAGTGTTCTTAACATAATATAGGTCCTTTTGAGCACTTTATAGATCAAAGCTTAGCTCCCATTGACTTCACCTACACCTGTGAGTGTTCAGGACTTCTGCAAATCATGACCTTAAAGGCCAAAGTGATGTACCCAGGAACACAAATTAGTGACCACCTATGAAAACTGTAATTTTAAATATCTTGTCAAATATCAAATAGGACCTCTGACAGAATCCAGCTATCTGAGGCAAGTCCAATCCAGTGCAGGGGATCAGGTATTGGCTGTGTTGTGCTGCTCCTTCCCTGAGCAGCACTCCCCTCCACTGAAGAAGAGCTTGCTGCTCCATTGTGTGTTTGCTTTCTTTACTGCTTTCTTTACTGTAGAGGGGTCAGGCAACACTGAGAGCAACTGCAGGTAGCTGGCCACTATGGGGGAAGAGACTTCAGTTTGTAGCCACGGCCAGATTGAAGGCTTCAACTCATGTTGCCAAAAGGCTTCCAACTCCTGAGCCAAGAGAACATTCAGTTGCCTTAACTATGACATCATCCTTTGTCCTAGCTCCCCAGGAAGAAAGACAGGATACAAGAGGTATCCTGTCTTTAATCAGCCCATAACTGTCTTAAATCATCTGGGAATTAGTTTGTAATGAATTATGTGGCCCTCGGCATGAATCCTCCTTAATCACTTTCACCTGTTCTAAGGCATCTTCAGCCCATCCACATTGCAGACTTGGTCCCAGCCTTTTGTTGGGACCATACCATCCTCCCTCAAATTGGTCTACCATCCTCCCGTCTAATTGGTCTAGGGAAGGAGAGTTTATCTTGTCATTGTACTAAGTGTTAGGAATTCCAACCCCTGTTCCTCAGGCTTTTTAGGAGATGCTTTCTCTTAAACCTACTAAAAATGTGATTTTTATCAGGGAATTTAACCCACTATTGAATGAGTTCCTGCACTGTACACCTACTGGAAACTAACCTGTCTCTACCCCATTCTCAATCCAGCCCAAGTTTCTAAGCAGGTAATGACTCCCTCCCTTTGATATTAGTCAAAAATGTATCTGTTCAGTAACTGGGGAGGTGTAGCCCATTCTTCATTCTTGTATAACATGGCTATTCAATGCAACATTCTTGTATAGGTGATCACTGACCCTTCCTCCTGGTGTGCAGATTTAGGCACTTACCAGTTCCTCCCAATTTTGATCTGGTACCTCCAGAGAACAGGGCAGCTCCCTGTTGATCCTCTGCATTTCAGACCATTTTGTAAATGCCTCTAGGAAGGGCCCTGTATCTTTGCTTAGCCCCTAATTGTCCTGATGATTAAGGCAATCTCCTTACAAAATCAGACAATGTTTTCATGTAGATATACAATACTATCTATTAGCTGCCAGAATCCAAGTCAAACATCAGCTGATTTCCTAGCATGCCCATTTTTCCATGCCATATTGATTTCATCTTACTGCCAATGTTTCGCCTTAAACCTCCACATGAACAAGCTCCTTGTCTTTGAACCTAGTAGCAAAAAATTGTTTTTGCATATGTACACACCAGCTTGCTCCAGAAACTGGATGAATGGTAAATTGACCTAATTCTCAATAAGGGGCCTCATATACACCCTGCAAGCAATGCCAAAGCCCAAACTTCTTTTTGTTGAGTTCTTAGCATGTGTTTGAGCCACAGTTGTCACCCCAGTTTGAACAAGTGGTCCAAAATTCCCATACAGGGAGCTCTACTACTGTTGTCTTGGGGTTTTCTTCAAATTTAAAATTTAAAGGTTTTTTTAAAAACTGCCTTAAAGACTACGATGTTGAGCTAAATTAACGCCAGTTTTCACTGGTGTTGCTGGTTGAAGAACTTGCACTAAATCCCTGATAATCTGAATAGCAATGGGTTATTAGGGATCTATACTCAAATTTTGGCTTGAGACCACCCTCTAACAGCCTCCTTATTAAAAACCTCCAAAGATCTAATGCAGTGTTTGATGCCTGATAAGCACAGACAGAAGGTTTGTAAACTTTCCCTTTGCCTGCTCCCCTTTAACACTATGGGCATGCCTACACCACCATTTTTGTGCCATACCCAGCACCACCACTAAAGATTTAGGCAGAGGTAACAATAGTATCAATACCATGTGATACTGATATGAGTGGTTACAATGAAGCATGGGCACCTGTAGCCTTAAGGGCAGATTGTGTGGCTCCAAGCCTTGCAAGTGTAACTGTACTGTTAGTCACTCTGTAAGGGTCTTGGCCTTATCAGCCTGCTTCCTTTATGCTCTTGCTGGGCCCTTTAGCCCAGGCCCACAGTACAAGACCTGGTTTCTCGTCTGCAGCCTCCCTTCCTTTGGGTCCCTGACCATCTCAGTCCCTGGTGATGGTCATTCTTGGACCTTTGGCCCCTCCTTACCATCTCAGTCCCTTGTGATGGACCTTTGGCCGCTCCTGGGCTCTGACCCCGATCCTGGGCCAGTTGGGCCTACCCAGCTTGCTGAGCTCTGGCAGTCTGTGTCTAAAGCCCCTCTTGGGCTACTGGCTCTCTGAGTAAGCCTTGAGCCTGCCCCAGCAGTGTAACTTTAAAATAAAATACTTATGCCCTCCAGCAGATGCCCAAACTGTCTCTGGGCTTAACATAAAATGGAATCCTCGCCTGCATAAGCTGGTTTTTCTCTCTGCCGCAGGCAGCTTTCTCCTGTTCCCAGATATGCAGTTCCCCAGTTTTTCAGTCCCAGTTTCACTGTGACTTCAGGAGCCCTGCTGCTGTTTTGCCAGGAGCTCCTCTTTTCCTGGACCCCAGGACTGGACTGCCTGACCAGCTGAAGCCTTGGGCTTGTATAGTTCCAGCCCAGTCTTCTGTTGGTCAGGTGACTCTTCAATTATTCCCCTCACTGCCTGCAAACTGCCTCTCTGGCTGCTTGCTCTCTTATAGTAGGCTTACCATCATTTCCAGTTCCAAAAAATAGGACACCTGCTGGGGGTTTGAGTAGGATATATGATTGTGTGTGGGGAGCAGTGATATGCCAGTACCCTGCTTCTGCTCATTCTGTTGCCCCTCACTCTCAAGCCACAGCCCCCTGTTCCCTCTAACCCTGCAAGTCTCCTGGCCACCATGCCCCTGTAAGCAAGGGGCGGACCTAGTGCTGCTGGCTCGGCATACAGCTCCTCACTGTCCCCAAAGGTCCCCCCTGCCCCCTTTCCCTGCTGGAGGGCCAGGCTTCTTGTCCCCCTGCCCTGCTACAGCCTCAGCACCTGGACAGCTTCCCACAGTGCCAGCAGGCACCCCCACCCCCATCCCCTCCACACACCCACACACAGACTCATCTGCTCCTCCTCCCTACCCGCAGCCCTCTGACAGTCCTCAAGTCCTGGCCCTTCCCCATAGCATCCAGCTGCCAGGGCTCCTCCCACCACCCTGCCTTGCTGCATGGTGGCCACAATTGCCCTTCCCCCAATCCCAAGGATCCCTTTGCTAGGGCAAGCTGGGAAGTGCTGGGAAAAACACTGATGCTGAGCATAGCAAAATCCTGGACATTTGAATTTTTAAAAAAATGGCTGAATGGATATCAGATGATACAAAAGAGGACAGGTCCAGGAAAACCCAAACATATGGTAACCCTACTTAAATGAGCAGATGCACCTTGGTGACCTGCTACAGACAGCTGAATTGTTTTACTTCTGGGATTTGACACAGGCTGAACAGGAGTGGATGGGGTGTGCCTCTCAATGGAGCTTGTAGGCATGCGTAGAGGCAGTATAGATGAACCTTAAATGTTCATGGTTCTTTTGATCTCTGTACTAATTGGAGAGCAGTCATATGCCAAGGTTTCAAAGAGCAGCATCTGTTCAGGTGCCTTGCTGGCTCTCTGGGCCAGGTCTCAAAATCAGTCCACCTGTAAGTGAGACAAAATGTCAGGTATGTCATCAATCCTGGGCACATGCTTAGCAGTAAAACAGATGTGGTAAGTCAGTTGCTGTTGGATGAAAGCCCTTGCCAATCTTGAACTGTATGTTGGTAGCATATTGTAAATTCTAAAATGCCATTCACTTGTTTGTGAGCTCCTGGCTCCAAATAGTTACTTTCAATAAAATGGGAACGAGTGCTAAATGTCTTACTCTCTTTGTATTTCCTTTGTTTGTCCTGTCTGAGCATGCTGTCTGTCCCGGTTTTAAAAGCAACACAACAAAAGCCTTGAAGCACTATGCCCCTTGATATACCTGAAGTTTTGAATCTGCCTCTAGAATCCATTCAGTTCTCCAAAAGGAACTCCTACTGGAGTGACTCAGAAATAGTTCCCATGCTCACTGTTCTGTAATGATATGGCTTCACTTTCTCAGAGGTGGCAACTGGTAGATGTAAAATGTCTGCCTCAGGGCC